ACTTGAAATGCATGCCCAAGACAGACAGGGAAGAGGTGTGGACCACACTTGAAGGGATGCTGCAACAAGAGTCACCCAGAAGGTCTTCACAGGCACATGATGATGGGCCACCCAGGAAGAAAACCAGCCTCTGCAAATGGGCTCAGATTCAGAATCAGAAGATGAAGAGGTCCAACCTGCCATACAGAGGTACAGAGCAGAGCCCACCATTGATTTGGAGCACTGCCCCTTGAGGTGGTGGGCATCTCATTCAGGAGCCCATGAGAAGCTGGCCTCAGTAGCTCACAAATATCTAGCCACTCCTGCAAACACTGTTCCCTGTGAACGACTTTTCTCAGTTGCAGGTCACATTGTGAACAAGAAAAGGTCAGCTTTACTTTCAGAAAATGTGAACAAGTTAGTTTGCCTCAGCAACTGGCTGAAAGATGATGAAGCTCAGTAGATTTGAAAGGTGATGTTCAGACAAAAAGACCAGTTTCAGTGCAACATGTTATAGTAGTTAGCAACTGGATTTTTGAGCAACTGGATTAAAGAATGGAGGAAAAGGTAAAAGATTGTTCTTTGGTTTGATTTAAAAGTTGAAAATGTTTTCTTCCACATAAAACGCAACAGATGACTCAAATTGTGCAAAAATGTGGTAGACCACTGTTATGATTTGACTACATTTATTGCTTTCTGTTCTGAATACTGTAAATTGTACACCCTGGTTAAGAGGAATGCCAAAAAGGAAGCAATGGGACATTACAAAGACAAATATTATGGTGTGTAGTATGTTTCAGCTTGATTTAAACCACCATTATTTGGCTGTGTTAATAAACAGACATAATATGAAAATTATGTATCTGTGTCCTGTTATCTATCTTTTGGTATGCATTTCAGAAAGAAAAAATGGTTAGGATTCAGGTGTAATTTCAAATAGTGATTAATCCTGATTAATCCACTGAAAAATCTGATTAATTGATTAAAATTTTTAATTATTTGACAGCCCTAATATAAATATAAAAAAATAAGCTTCCTCCCACAGTCCAAAGACATGCTCTGGGGATCAGGTTGACTGGTAACTCTAAATTGCCCGTAGGTGTGTGAATGTGAATGGTTGTATGTCTCTATGTAGCCCTGTGATTGGCTGGCAACCAGGCCCGGGTGTACTCTTGTCTCTCGCCCGAAGTTGGCTGGGATATTGTCCACCCACTCAGGGGTTTTGAATTAATGTAGATGACTCCAGACTCCAGACCCCCCGCGACCCTGTGTGCAGGATAAGCGGTTTGCAAATGGATGGATGGATCTGTGAGGTGTTATTAAAGTAATGTACATAGAAACGACACTACTGTGCAGCAGGTTGTTATGTTTCATATGAATATTCTCAACCTTCTGACAATGATAACATGAACCTCTGAAAGTGTATGTGGGTGACATTAGGATCTGAAAACATAACATGTGAGAGGCAAATAAATTCAAATGACTTACCATATACTCCCGAACAAGCTGTCCCTCGTCCTCCCCCAGGTAGATGCAAAGAGCCTTTAGGACAGCTGTCCTTTTAGGATTGACATCACTTGTCTCCTGTGTTAAAGAATTACAATTATTAAATAATAAGAAATACAGAAATAAGTACAGCAATTTTAATAAATTGAACAATATTTATATTACATTACATGACATGTCATTTAGCTGACGCTTTTATCCAAAGCGACTTACAATAAGTGCATTCAACCATAAAATGTAATAACCTAAATGTATAATATAACTTCATTTTTTCATCATCACAAATATACATGACATTTTACATGTCATAAAGACAATTGGTATACATATTTACTTCTTGCAAGATCTCCAGATGTTTAGCTAGTTTCTGGCCAGCAACTCCTCCCTTCGTCTGGAAGATATACGTCAATTGGGCTAAATGGCTGTCCAACTGTGCCATGAAGGTAGATTCCAGTGGGATGGTGGTAACGCGTTGGAACTTAGCATGTATCTTATCAAAAAACAAAAAGATAAAATACAAAGAGTATCAGTGCAATATTTTGTTGCTAATAAATTCTAGTTTTGAACTCCTCGTTAACAAAGACTGTCTTTGATAGCATGTGTACTGGTTGGTCCACAGTGTGTTCTAGCCAGACACATTCCTATTAATCGTGGGTAATTGCAAGAGTAGGCTTTCCTTCAGACAATCAAAGAGCTGACAAGCTGGTGAAAAAAGTGGAATATGCAGGAACTTAAGAGCCAGACATTTTTCTTGGTAGTGACCAAAAACAGAGCTATAAGAATAATCAATCACTAGGTGGGATATATTTTTCTTTCAAATGTATTGTCAATATTTAGGTTACAGCAGTTACACGCTAAGATTGTACAAAGACAAGCCGCACATTGGGAAAATAGGTAGCAAATGCTTACCTCACCGACTAAAGAGGACTAAAACCGTTTGCACAAAAGTTGTTGAATGCCTACATATGATCAGTGGCAGATTGACTTTGCTGTCAGCGATTACTGCCCTATAGAGGGCAAATATACCACAGCATTAGAGTATTTAACCTGAGCAGTACTGCTGGGATCAGCATACCTGTGAAGAGTTTGTTTGTTAAATGTACTTACCAAAACAATATGAGGTCCCCAAAGAGTTCCACATCACACCAACATCAGATAGAAAAAACTGCAAAAAAAATACAATTCAGGATTGGTACATTTATTTTATGAAAAATAAGTATTGTTCATTTATCATTACTGAATTTTGGCACGGCAGGCAAACCAATATTATCTTATCCATTTAGTTTTTAGCCAACATGTGGTCATGAGGTGTGGTCTCTGTTGCCTACAGAGCAGCTGCAGCTTACACTTCCCCGCATTGAAGCGCATTTCCTCCGTGCTCTCAGAGCTAACGGTTACCTACATGTTTAAGCTAACGCTAGCTCATTAGTGTATAACCGAGAAAAGGCACCGCAAAGGGAAAAGATACCGCAGTAAAGAGTTGAGCAGAGCCGCGCGGGACTCACGTAATGGCTGTTAACATGAACCCATTTGGCGCCAGAGAGCAGCAAACGCACATTTTTCAATGGGATTGACTTTAGTTCTCTTTCCCCCTTTTATTACCGCACTGATAAGTTTAAGTTAAAAAATACACTTAAAGTGGGTCCGTAACGTTAAACCTTTCTACATGCCGAGAAACCCGGGAAGGTCAGGCTACAAGCTATTAACGTTAGCTAACAGCTAGCGTTAGCTAGTCACTTTACATCGGTTAGGTTCGAATGTTCGTGGCCACAAACTCACGAGAAAGTCAAACAAGAAAAGCATCTGATGCATCACGCATTTATATTGATAGCATCAACACTAGTTAGATAATTATTTTCACTTAAATGAGTCTACTAATGTTAACCTAGCCTTAATGGTGTAGGCAACATTAAGCTAACGTTAGCAGCTATAAGCCTCAGTTAACATTTTATTGAGACAGCAGACAGCCAACTACTTTTCTTGGTGGCAACTAAATCCTGTTAAAGTGAAAATATGTATTATGAATTTAAAACGTTTACTTACTGAAAACGTAGAGCCTTGGATACGCAGACAGCCAGGAGATAGAGCAAATCCGCGTCCTCCAGGGGCGGTTTGTGGTCGCACATGCGCAGATGTGGAAGTTGAATGTGGGTTTAAAATGTACACGTGTTTTTCATGTAACCTTTAAATGACGGAAATGAGCTTTTCGTAAACCATGGAAGAATGTGTTAAGCTTAATTAAAAAAGCTAATTCAATAACACGTTCAAATCAGTGAAATGACCTTGCATAAATCAAGTAATATTTAAAAGCGGTCCGAATCGTTTTTCTCCAGGAGCCAGTGGAAGGTTCTGCCCTGGTAGCGACCCAACTGCACCTTCCACCGGCTCAGGACCAGGGCGGCGCTGGTGGTGCCACCGCCCTCGGAGACGTTTTTTATGCTTGTTATTCCACATAAATGACAAATGACACAATTCTACTGGACTGTTGAATGACACATGAATAAAACACGCTGCTGTTCGTTGTAATAAAGTAACGTTATGACTTGGTAATAACTGGTGTTGTCAACACGTGACGCATCACCGATGCTATAAAGTCACGTAAGCTCCGTCACCAATAAACCACGCAAACGTCCGCAGAAACACGGAGAGACGTGACCGTTAGCTCCCACACGCGTTCCATCCAGCGTATTAAATACAGTTAGTAATAATAACCATAAATCGTGGCTAAAGTTACGCGTGTGACGTCGCGACCCTGTGTGCAGGATAAGCGGTTTGCAAATGGATGGATGGATCTGTGAGGTGTTATTAAAGTAATGTACATAGAAACGACACTACTGTGCAGCAGGTTGTTATGTTTCATATGAATATTCTCAACCTTCTGACAATGATAACATGAACCTCTGAAATTGTATGTGGGTGACATTAGGATCTGAAAACATAACATGTGAGAGGCAAATCAATTCAAATGACTTACCATATACAGTAATCCCTCGTTTATCGCGGGGGTTACGTTCCGAAAATGACCCGCGATAAGTGAAATCCGCGAAATAGAAAACTTTTTTTTTTTACAATTAGCAACTATTACATGTATACAAATACAGTGACTCACGTGTAGGCCGTTTCACTGCTCTTCAGACTGGGCCGCTGCATCCTGACTGCGCTCTGCAGTGTTCTCTTCTTCTGAAGCCCGCGGTGCAGGTGTGTTTGTTCGGGAGAAGAACATAGTGATAGGCAGCTGTTGTCGCTCTTTTTTCTTCTTTGCAAAAAGATCCTTGTACACCGTCATGCCACCATCGATTACGTTGGAGAACTGTAATGAACGGCTCGGGAGTGAGTTTTTAGCGAATCAGAATGCAGAGCACAATGCACCAAAAAAAAAAAAAATGCATTATGAAAATCCGCGAAATAGCGAATCCGCGATAAGTGAACCGCGAAGTGGCGAGGGATCACTGTACTCCCGAACAAGCTGTCCCTCGTCCTCCCCCAGGTAGATGCAAAGAGCCTTTAGGACAGCTGTCCTTTTAGGATTGACATCACTTGTCTCCTGTGTTAAAGAATTACAATTATTAAATAATAAGAAATACAGAAATAAGTACAGCAATTTTAATAAATTGAACAATATTTATATTACATTACATGACATGTCATTTAGCTGACGCTTTTATCCAAAGCGACTTACAATAAGTGCATTCAACCATAAAATGTAATAACCTAAATGTATAATATAACTTCATTTTTTCATCATCACAAATATACATGACATTTTACATGTCATAAAGACAATTGGTATACATATTTACTTCTTGCAAGATCTCCAGATGTTTAGCTAGTTTCTGGCCAGCAACTCCTCCCTTCGTCTGGAAGATATACGTCAATTGGGCTAAATGGCTGTCCAACTGTGCCATGAAGGTAGATTCCAGTGGGATGGTGGTAAAGCCTTGGAACTTAGCATGTATCTTATCAAAAAACAAAAAGATAAAATACAAAGAGTATTGGTGCAATATTTTGTTGCTAATAAATTTGTCACGGTGTGGTTCACTTCCTGTTGTATTTTGTAGTTTTCTGCCACTCGTGTCCCCGGGTAACTTCACTTCCTGCCTTGTCCTGTCATCCCCTGTGATCGTCTAATAGTTTCCACCTGTGTCCAATCACCTGCACCTCCCTTGTGTATTTAAGCCGTGTGTCTCTTGTGTCACTTGTCGCGTCATTGTCTATTGTCGTGGATGTCCGTAGTTTCTTGCCTGTGTGTTTTTGCCCCTTGGCCCTTTGATTTTCCCTTTTCGACTATTAAAGTATTTTGTTTCCGGAGAAGTCTGCGTTTGAGCCCTGCCTCCCCCACGCATCCTTGACAAAATTCTAGTTTTGAACTCCTGATTAACAAAGACTGTCTTTGATAGCATGTGTACTGGTTGGTCCACAGTGTGTTCTAGCCAGACACATTCCTATTAATCGTGGGTAATTGCAAGAGTAGGCTTTCCTTCAGACAATCAAAGAGCTGACAAGCTGGTGAAAAAAGTGGAATATGCAGGAACTTAAGAGCCAGACATTTTTCTTGGTAGTGACCAAAAACAGAGCTATAAGAATAATCAATCACTAGGTGGGATATACTTTTCTTTCAAATGTATTGTCAATATTTAGGTTACAGCAGTTACACGCTAAGATTGTACAAAGACAAGCCGCACATTGGGAAAATAGGTAGCAAATGCTTACCTCACCGACTAAAGAGGACTAAAACCGTTTGCACAAAAGTTGTTGAATGCCTACATATGATCAGTGGCAGATTTACTTTGCTG